TGGGCACTCCAGTGCGGGTCGGTGGCACGGTCGGGCGAGGTATCATGATGACGTCGACAACGGCGGCTCCGGTGATGGTGGTAGCGATGGTGGTGGCAATGATGAGTGGTAAAGATGACGATGATGATGATGACGATGTACAGGATGATTATGTTGATAATGATGGCGAAGATGCTGATGATCATGCTGATGATGCTGCTGATGATGATGGTGACGATGATGCGGATTATGCTACTGATTATGATGATGCTGGTGAGGCTGATGCTAATGCTGATTATGCTGATGATGAGTTATCTCTGGCGTTAGAGCAGCCAGAGCATCTGGTGACATCTGAAACGCTGCGCTGCAGAAAAAGAAATCAGGTGATGATGATGCTGATGATGATGATGATGGTGGTGGTGACGATGATGCTGCTGATGATGATGATGCCGACAAGACCACTGCCGTCGCCGATGCTGAGAACGATGATGACGATGCTGATGTCCATGTGTCGGCGATGCAGGTGTTTGACTGAAGGTGACGGCAATGACAGCGACTGGCGATAACGATAACAGCGGTGATGCGGCAACACTGGTGAGGGTGATCGTGAGGAAGTGCACGCACACGGAACTTCAAGAGACCTGGCAACCTTGCCGTCGAACAGTGGTGTGGTGTGTCTCTCACACCTGTCTTGGGGAACTCTACCTTGAGCTGCTTCGACAACCGATGGTCTTGGAGGGGATTCGACAAGCGCGCGCGACGGCGAGCGCGTGTGGCCCGCATGGTATTCGTGAGGGCGGATTCGCACGGCGTGGTGAAGTGCACGTGCGGGTTCTGGACGGGATTGCTGACCCCATGTGGTTTTCGTCTGAGTTCTGCACGTGCGCGAGTGCAGAACATCTGACACTGTCGCGGAGTAAAAGGTTCGTATGTTGAATTACTTGGCAAACTAATGTGCGTGTGTGTGTGTGTGCGTGTTTGTGGTGTGGCTTCCACACGTGGGCGCGTGCTGACTTAGTGCCATTTGTTGCAAGGTGCCATTGCGCAATGATCTGTTAAGATGAAGACGTGCGCGCCCATGGTGTTATTTGACAGGGATGAGCCTCATCCCTGTCAAATGATACTGGCATCGACCCCCATCGTCCGATGAGGTGGGCCGGTGCCACTTTGGACGGGAGGATGGGAGTTCAAACGGAAATCGAACGATGAGGCACAATCGCATGTCCTTCCGCACTGTCCCGCGAGGCTCCGTGAGCCTCAGGGAGCGGGGCCTAGCCTGATCCCCAAACAACGGGAACCGCCATTTTGGACGCCCGAAATGGGCACGGAAAAAATGGGTACAATGCCCAGCAGCAAATGTTGTCCCAAACCAACAGCGGCCGCTGTTGGGCAGGCGGCCTCTATCTCAAATGGACACAGGCCGCGGCGGCGTGGACAGCGAATCCGGTTCAAAATGAACAGGAACTGCTGTTGGGCCTTGTACCCATTCTTTCCGTACCCATTTCGGGCGTCCAGATCCATGGGCGCAGGAGGCAGTCGCGGGCGGGCACCCGGCAACACCTCCCCGGTACGTCCACCCACCACGGGGCGCCCGCGAGGCGCCCCCGGGGGGCGCGCCCGAGGATGACACGCGCCTCCTCGCCAAGCGGCCTGACCAGTACAGGCCGTAGCTTGGCATCGCCTGGTATCTCTTGGGAGCGAGGGTGGTCCAAAGCGAGGTAGGTTTTGTTTGCCCCCTACACGAGGCGCCCACGGGGGGCGCGCACCAGGATGACACCTCGGCATGCCCCCCCGCTGGTGCAGGGGCGCCCCCTGCCATCGCTCGGACGTCCACTCCCTGTGTTTTTTTCGGTTTCGTGCGTGGTTTTTTCGCCAAATGATCAAGGATGCTCCTCGATGGTCCCCACCGAAGAAAAAATGCACACGTCCGAGCGATGCCAAGGCCCACGCAACTGTCCGCAGGCGAGCAGCGGGCGACGCCTCGGCATCCCCCCCCCCAACGCGAGGCGCCCACGGATCGCCCACGGGCGGGCGCCAGGCGAAACCTCGGCACACCCCCAGGCAGCCGGAACCCCAACATACCCATCCAATGCCCCTCAAGAAACAATGAGAGCCTCCAAGTGAAAGCACTGCTATGGGATAGCGACAGCCACGTGGCGCCCGAGGGATCACAGGCAATCCTTCCATCAACGAGCTCACCCCTTTGATTGACTGCTCATTACGCCACACGCGCATTCTACGCGAGGCTGGAGGCTGCCATCGTCAAGTGTGCGATCCGAAAGGCCAGGGCCGGTCAAGCGCAACAGGGTGGGCTGTGTAGGCGAGGCTCCACGTTGGCGCCTGTCTCGGATGGTCCTCAATAGTGCATGACCTCATGGGGCGGGCGGCGATCACACCATGCTGGTATGAGTGTGCCCCCCCCCCCCCGGGCGCTCTTTTCTCCAATGTCTGCCTTTTCGTGCTGCGGTCGACACAACTATGAAAACAAACAGCCCAACAAAGAGCACACACGACACCCGCCGGGCCCCAAATGAGCGGAAATCAGCAACCTTAAACAGACAAACAAAACACGACAATCCAAACCAAAATGCAGTTCGCATGAACGGAATGCATAAACAAACAACGGCAGTTCAAAACAAATCACACAACGGATCGCAAAACGAACCGAAACGGCGAGACGGCAATCCTCAAACAGAAAAGCAACTGCACCCAAAACAGAGCAGCAAGCACGTCGATCTTGACAAGGGAAAAGCGCCCCAAGCGATATTCAGAACCCCCCCCCGCGTCGAAAGACGGCAGTCCGCCCCGTTCGCCACTCTGCGCCGCGGAAGAGGACTTGCATACAACGCTACCTTCGGGCGGGCGCCGTCGACGTCTTGCGGGAAGAGGGCAGGGAGATCCCATGGGGGCCGATCCTCGTGCGGCCCCAGCGCCGCCGGCCGTCCCGTCAGTGACCGTCAGTGACCGTCAGTGGGGAGATCTTGGAAGGGCGGGGAACAGGGGAAGGTCCCCGGCCTCCGAACATGGGAACGAGGCAGGGACGGATCATGTCTCTCCGTTGCTGTTTGCAACAGCCCTGGTGGGCAAAAATTCACGGAGCGCCACTCTTGCGCCCACAGAGAAGCGGCCATTCGCCCACAAGGTCAGGGGGCGCCAAATGTCCATCCGAACTGCCAACGTGCTGAGTCGATTCATCGCTGAGTACACCCCAGGCACACCCGATAGCCCGAGCGCCCTCGCTACGCTGGCGGTGGACTTGTTGACCTGGTCGCGAAACCGGCAGGCACGTAGCATCGGATCGCTGGATCATCCCTGGGCATCGCAAGAGACGTGTTTTGTTGACGCGGTCCTACGGGCCCGAAGCGGACCTCCAGAGGCCCGAAACTGGCAGAAACTGGTCGTCGCGATTTTTCGGACCTGCCGGATGTGTCAAGGTCTCCTGGGGCTCCCGGATGCCTCCAGAGTTCCCCGTGGCCCCCCCGCAGGCCCCAGGAGCCCCAAAGAGGCCCTAGATCGTTCAAAAGAGAATTGAGGAGGAGGAGGAGGAGGAGGAGGTGGAGGAGAAAGTGGAGGAGGAAAATCCTCGATCCTCGAATAGCCCGCTGCTGCAATCGCCTTCAGTCGGCGTCCCTGGTCCGCGCCGAGCTGCAGGAGAAATATCCCCGCAGAGCGTGGCACCGCCATCCTCCGAACCCCTCGCCCGAAAACGCGACCGGAGCCCTGGACCCCCAGCCTTCAGGAAGGCTCAGGAACCGAACCGAACCGGCCGAACCGAGCGGGGCCGAACCGAACCGGCGCGAAACACACTTTTTATCAACAGGCACCGAATTCCGAACCGGAACCGAACGAGACCCAACTTTGAACCGAACCGCACCGGAATCCACTTCGAACCGAACCAGGCCGAACGGGACGGAACCGCCCTGATTCGCAAGGCTGCCATGCGCGCGAAATGGGGCGTCTGCACGTACGCTTGCTGATGGCACGATACGTTGTCGCGCGTGCCTGCTGTAGGGGAAGGGGGAGAGAGAGATGGAGGAGGGAGGAGGGGGGGAGGGAAAGCTGAGGCGGAGGAAGGCTGGGAGCGAGAATCACATGGGGGAGGAGGCGGCGCGGGCGCGCCGAAGAGGCCCCCCGCGCTGCCGCCCCCGGGGCCCGGCGCCGGCGCGGCGCCGAACGCGAACAGGCCGCTGGCGCCCTCGCCGCCGCTCGCGCCCGCGGGGGGCGCGAAGAGGCCCCCTGCGCGCGGGGGGCCACCTCCTACCCCTCCTCCTCCTCCTCCTCCTCCGCCTCCTCCTCCTCCTCCTCCTCCTCCTCCTCCTCCTCCTCCCTCCTCCTCCCCCTCCTCCTCCTCCTCCTCCCCCTCCTCCTCTTCCTCCTCCTCCTCCTCCTCCTCGTCCTCGTCGTCGTCGTCCTCCTCCTCCTCCTCCTCCTCCTCCTCGTCCTCCTGCGCGGGGGCTGCCGCGCGCGGAGGCTGCCCCCCCCGCGCCCGAGCACGACGACCGCCACCACGGCGAGCACTGCGACGACCACCGCCACAGCCACGCCGACCGCTCGACGACCTCGACATGCACTGCTCGACCACGACGGCCGCCTCCACGAGGAGCACCGTGACGACCACCGCGGGACAGCAGCGGCGAAAGCGTTAGATTTCGGCGCTCCGCGCGGATCCCCTGGGTCTGTGCCCCCCTCCCTGGCGCGTGGAGCGCGTCCGAGGCAGCGCCGGAGGCACCTCCCGGGAAGGCCCAGAACAGAAATCCGCGCGGATCTTGGGAAGCTCTTGCTCACGCAGGTGCTCCTTCTTTGGGGGGACACTGCGGCGACCACTGCGACGACCTCGGCGGCGACCGACGCGAAAACGCCCTGGACGACGACGGCGGCCACGACGACGACCTCGGCGGCCTAGGCGACGGCGGCCGCCACGACGAGCACTGCGACGACCCGATCGTCGACGACCGCGGCGGCGCCGCCTGCGGCGCCCGCGGAGGCGAACAGGCCGCCGGCGCTGGCGGCGGCCCCGCTCGCGGGGCCGAAGAGGGAGTCGAAGAGGCCGGCGGCGCCAGCAGAGCCTCGGGAGGCCCGCGGCGGGGCCGCCGCTCTGGCCGCCGCGAGGGCCGCGCGGCAGGGCTCTCCGCGAGGGCCGCCCGAGGCGGCCGCGGGGCCGACGGAGGCCGGCGGAGGAGGAGGAGGAGGAGGAGGAGGAGGAGGAGGAGGTGGAGGAGGAGGAGGAGGAGGAGGAGAGGGAGGAGGAGGAGGAGGAGGAGGAGGAGCAGGAGGAGGAGGAGAAGGAGAGGAGGAGGAGGAGGAGGAGAAGCAGGAGGAGGAGGAGGAGGAGGAGGAGGGACGAGCTTCTTCCCCGCCGGGGGTTGGCCACGTGGCCAGTGTAGCGTAGCGAATTCGAAAGGCCCACCCCGGAAGGGCAACTGTCGGCGGTGGTGAGGGTGCCCCAGATGCGTCGTAACGCCGGATTCCTGTGAGGTTTGGGTGAGGTTTAACGCCGAACTTCTCGTAACGCCGGCACCCGGTGAGCCGAGGGCCTTAATACCCCGAATGCGTCGTGACCCAGTTCTCTGCCAGATCTGTTTGAGACGCATGTGATGCACTTGCGCACGTTCACGTCATCCATAAAGTTTCGGCTCGAGAGCCCTCTTTTTGAGCAAAGCGTGCACAGCAAAAGGGGAGCTCAAGACTTGCCCGTGTCCCCACTCCGTGGAGGAGCCGAGGAACAAGATAGAGGCAAGAGGAGGAGGAGGAGGAGGAGGAGGAGGAGGAGAAGGACAGGTCCAGGCACGCGCCTGCGTGAGGGCGCCCACCCTTCCCCCCAACCCCCTCTCAGGGCGCTGCATGTTCGAAGTGCGTCCAGCGGGGGCCCCAGCCCTGGGAGGGTACGTGGAGAGGTATAAAAACAGCTTTGGGAGGGACAGCCCGGAGGCCTCGCGCGGCAACTGCAGGCCCACTGCACGTCGGATCCGCGTCGGAGTCACGTCGGATTTGCGTCGGGCTCACGTCAGATCTTCGTCGGGCTTGCGTCGGAACATCGCCACGCGAATGTTGCCCGCTACTTATCTGACGGGGCGGACGCGTGGATTAGATAATGCACCTGCTGCGTGCCAGGCGAGGACTCTGGCATTCACCTCCTAGTCAACTGCACAAGCGTAGACTCTGGGCGTTGCGTGCGGATTTCTTGGATCGGGGCTGGGCCCCCTGGCGGCGCCTCCGCGCCACCCCTGACTGGAGGGCACAGTCCAGTTTAGAGGCGGCCGAGGAGGACTGAGCTGGGTAAGCGTAAATAAGTTATAGTGAAATCGGTCCCCGCACCCCTCCCACTGTTGACACAACCAAGTTTCTCGACCCGCGTCCACCAGCCGTGTCAACGCGGGCGCCCTTGCCTCCTCCCTTCTGTTGGCCGGAACCAATGCCGGCTCCAGTTGCAGCCGTCGTGCCACTACAGGGAACGCCGATAAAAGAAGGCGCTTTTCTCGCCACGGCAATGATGGGCAACTTTTCCACCACCTCAACCATAGCTAGGACGGGGGAGGAGGGAGGGAGGATGGGGAAGTCCTTCTCCTCCTCCTCCTCCTCTTCCTCCACCTCCTCCATCTCCTACTCATGCCAGTGGTGGTGGAACATCGGCCCATCAGGCAAGCCTCGGCCACGACGATAGTGCGTCAGGAAAGGAAGAAGCAATGGCATCCAGCCGCGGCTCGCGGACTTCTTGGCTCGGCGCTGGCCCCCCCCCTGTTGGCGCCTCCACCGCCGCCCCTGACCGCGCCTGCAAGGGGCGCCGGGGCCGATGTTTGTTCGAGGCCCGACGCTCCAAAGGCTTTCCTCGAGCTCCCGTGTTCTTCAAGGACTGAGCTGCCACGCGGCTCGTGAAGACCCGCCTCCCCTGCTCCCTCCCCCTCCGCGGCTGCCCTCCTCCGCTTCGCCCGCTCCTCTTGTGCTGGCTCGCCTCGTCGCGCCCCGCTGCGGCTTCGACCGCGCCGTGCGTTCGCAGGCCCGGCATGTGTGTAGGGGGCTGACTTTCGAGGAGCTGGGCCCAGGCCTCCCATTGCTGGTTCGGGGGAAAGCTTCGGATTTCGAAGTATCTGTTTCTAGAGGCCGTTTTCAGGGCCCTGGGGCTGTCAAAAACAGGGTTACCTCGACCTCGGCGACCTCGAACACCCAACGATCCTGACGACTCGACACTCGAAACGCCGACTGCGACGACCCCACGGCCCTGAGTCGACTTCGACGACCTCGACGACAAAACGATGCGATCGTCGAATCCCCGAGCTCGACGACGCGACGACCCTTCTTCGACCTCGACAACCTCGACCACTGGACGACGCCGACGATCCGACCCTCGAAACCTCGAACCCCAGAGCCCCAGATATCCGACACCTTTTTTCAACACGGCCCCCCCGAAGCCCCGACCCTTTCTCCAAGACTGGCGTTCCGCACCGAATCGTTGTGCTGGACGGCCCCGGGGCCCTCGGAGGCCGACAATAAATAATGACAACCTGAGAATGCTGCTGGGGAGCGGAGGATATGGAGGAGGAGGAGGAGGAGGAGGAGGAGGAGGAGGAGGGGGAGGGGGAGGAGGAGGAGGAGGAGGAGGAGGAGGAGGAGGAGGAGGATTGCACGCCACTGAGGGAAAAAGAAACATAGAGAGAGAGAGAGAGAGAGCGAGGGGAGTTCCGACGGTAAGGCTATAAACCCCAGGGAGGGCCCACCGGAGAGGACCCTTTTGCCACCTCGGCACGGCTCGGCATAGGCAGCGCGCCGAGGGCCAGCGACAGGCCCCCCCCCTAGGAAAAGACCTCACCATCGTCCTCTTCGAGGGGCCCACCCCTCTCACCGACTCGAAGCTGGTCTGCGATGCCACCCGCCTCAGCCCCCATTCGACCCCACAGCCTGGAGACAGTCGGCTGGGCAGAAACGGCGCCCAGCGCCAAGAACAGGAGCAGAACCGCTCCCCGCACCACCAGGCCGGGCCCCAGGCTCTCCGAAGGACCCCGGAGAGAGCTCCCACGCCCTCGCCCCAGGAGACCGCCAGGGGCCCAATCTCTGGGCACGATTGGGATGGTTGGAATCTTCAAAGGCCCGCGTCTTCATCCGCCCAGGATCGAGCAGCGCGGCCTGGGACCCCAAGCAGCTGGTCCTGGGGCCGCGGGCCCCCGCGGAGGTAGTCGCAGTTCCCCCGCTCGAGGAGCGGAACAAACGCTGGGCCTGGCCTTCCGAGACCGAGGGGAACTCCAGCAGCACATTGACCCCTTGTCCCCAGGGCCTCTGGAGGGAATCCCCAGCAAGCCTCGGGAGCTCGGGACCGAAGGCCTCGGAGGGATCTGGAGGGGCACCGATGGGGGGTCCTGAGGGGAGTGCGCGGGGGGGCGAGGCAGCAGCAGCAGCAGCAGCAGCAGCAGCAGCAGCAGCAGCAGCAGCAGCAGCAGCCTGCTCCTTCCTCGCCTCCTCCAACTGCACCTCAAAAGCAGGATCCCCCTCGAGGGGCACCAGAGTCAGCTCCTGGGCCCCTATGTTGTCGAAGCGCACCTCCTTCGAGTAAAAAACATCGGCCCGAATCACAAACCTGACGAGTTGCCTGCCCAGCGCCAGCATGCCTTTGACGAGGCGAACTGTCTGACTGTCGTGGCGCCTCAAGGCCGCGCCAGCCTTAGCCAGCCGATCTGCTTCAGAATTCCCCGTCCTCTCGAACTCTGAAGCGCGGACGCCCGCAGCGCAGCGGCTCGGGACCCCAAACTCTCGAGAGACGGCACCCCGAAGCCAAGTCCCTCCCTCCGCCATCACGTCCCGAGCCGCCGAGCGCAGGGGAGCTCTGGGGGCCCACACATGGCAGCCGTTCCCACACGTGTGTCCTCGGGCACCCCCTTGGGCGGATCGAGGCGCAGGTCCTTTCAGCCCCTTCCTGCAAGAGGGCCACCGTCCGCCTCTGACCAGGCGCGGCTGCCCACTCAGGGCCGAGGGCACGTGCTCGCGGAGGCACGGCCGAAGCAAGGCCCGAATGGGCTGGCACCCTGGAAAAGAAGGCCCGCCACGCACAACACGAACACAGGCACAACCCGCCCTCGTAGCCAGAACGATGGCCATTGAAGCCGTAGCAGGGATCAGGAAACTGCTCCCAGCTCCAGGCTGGGGATGCACAGCAGGCGCCTCGTCGGCGGGGAGAGAGGGAGGGACGGGCGGTGGGGCCTCCACCGCTGACTCGAAGGCTTCTGTCGCCCCACGTTGGCTCTCGTACGACTTCATCAGATCCGAATGACCACGAGCCCCCATACCCCCCCCACCCAAAGCGTGAAGCTCATCACTCCACCACCTCGCCCTTCTGGCTAGTGCCTGCAGGCCTCGCCACTGATGGCAGTCCTCTCCATGACAAGAAGCTCCCTGCTTGGAAAACTCATCTGTCGCGTCGCTCCCCTTCTTCATCCATAAGGACGTGCGGTCATCGAGATCATGTTGCGTGCTCCAGTGGGCATTGGTTTGATGGGCCGGAAAATCCCCAGGATCAAAACCCGCTCAGAAGAGGGACCACGCGTGGGCCCAGCGGTTCCCGGGGCCCGTGTCAACCCCAAGCCCAGCCCGCAGGGTCCAAACAGTGCCCTTACAATATTTGTAAGGGTCGAGTGGCGGCAATGCAGCCTGGCACAGCACGCTGATCAGGAAATCCTCGGCATCTCGCGAGCTCTGAAAGGGCACTGCCTCCATCGGAACAGGGCCAAACGCTGCAGACTTCTCCAAAAGGATCAAACATCACCGCGCACCAACCAGCTCGAGAAAGCCGAGTCCCAGGGAGGAGGCCAACATCGGGCCGCTGGTACCACAAAATCCGCCGGCCCCCTTGTGGGGCCACCAGGCTGCAGGTCGAAGGAAGTTGCTGCTCCCTGCGCCAGTTGCAGTTTGAAGTCTCCAACGTTACAATCCTGCTTTCTGCTTCCTACTGTGACTTGTTGGAGTCCGCGCGAGGGGCGGGAGCCCAAAAGAATTCAATGTACCACTCCCGAATCGCGTTCCCTGAATTCCCGGGGGGGCGTGGGACACCTAACAATTCATGATACTCGCGCCCCCGATGCCA